CCTTTTTCCCCTTTCCTCTGCTGGGTTCCCGGCTCTTTCTACTGCTACTCCTGGCCTCCTTCTTATACTGCTGTCTTTCTGCCACACCCCTGATCTTAGGGTAGGCAAGATGATAGATTGAACGCCTAGCCTTCGACTCGAATAAAGGCGAAAAAATATCAGAGGTATCGTGTGCAAGTTGTCCATGTTAAAAGTCCCTTGGTGGCCCTAAAATCGAAAAGTGCAGGCTTCAGCACCATCCTGGCAAAATTCAAAATTAATTCCTACCAAACTGAAAATGTTTAATGTGTCCCGCTCTCTCATATCATCATGACCTTATGCAGCTGCGAGCGCTGTAAAACACTTACTAAAAACAATTTATTATTTTTAAAACAACAGAACAACAAAAAACGAACACGGTGTGGGTGATTTGCGGATGCTCTCGTGTGGTTTGATCTTTCTTTCCTATCAAACTTTTTTCGTCCTTATCTCTCCTTCTTTTTCGTGTCTGTTACTCGATCTTTTGTCACACCTCTACTCCTCGGCACTTCTATGACCTCATCCTGCTGCAAAAGCCGCAACACTCTTACCGAAAAACTAAAAGAAGAGAACGCATGAAAAATACACTCATGTCTTGCCATGATCTCCCTGCCTGTGTTGTTTCGGTCCCAATAATTAGCCTAAGATAGGTTTTCAATACATGACCTGTAGGTCAAAATGCATTAAAATTGGTGTCTTATTCGGCGAAAGAAAACGAGAACGTGTAAATAATCTATTTGTCACTGGAAAATCCAATGCTGTAAAAAAAAAATTTTTAAAGCTTTCTTTGTCGGACATTAGCTTTTACAATGACACTAACATGAGGAATACACACGACTGTAATAATTCAAGTTAGAGCGAACGTGTACATGGTTAATATAATATTATTATTATCAACTATAACTTAAAATGTGATCCAGTACCCATAATACGGTACTAAATGGTCGCTTTTAAAGCACAAAAGGGGGCTCTCCCGAAAAATGCTGTTTTGAGAAAATCGAAGGTAAAGTTTTTGCCCCATGTTCAGTTTCTTTAAAAGACGGAGAGTTTTCTCTATAACCAAACAAATATACACACCAATGGAACCATATTTCTCCTATAGGTAAGGCAATGCCCACTTTTGGTGTAGGTCAAGATTTCTGAAACCCCCTGAAATCTGGGCTATCCCGCTTGTCCTTAAAAGGGACCAAATAGAATCAAGCTTAAGGCAGCATAAAATGCCGCAATTTATAGGCTATAATATAGCCCAATTTAAGCACAAGCAGATAGCCTAATATGAACTCACACACCTGCTCACACATACTGCTCGATTATATTACACTCGAGCGTCTGCTGAACACAATTAAGCGGTTTCATTCTACTTTTTTTTAATTGTCTGGGGTGATGACAGAACATATCACATTTTAGCTTTTTCTTAAGTAATCTGTTTACTAGACTTTTTTCTTTCTTTAAACCCTCTAGTTTTGTGCAGAGTGGTACGGGGGGGGGGGGGGTTATGGTAATCGCAAAATAAAGATAAATCAGTTGATAAATTTTCCCTTCTTTTAAGTAAACTACGTGTAGACCTACTAGGCCTACTGTAGACTGTAGATAGATAGAGCATGGATCTCCACAATGCAAAAGATCGTTGCACAGGACCCATGCTTCACCTACACGAAAGCTTCTGTTACGATTCTATTCTCTAATTCTAAAAAGGTGTAACTTTATCATAACTCACTATCCGTTATTATTGCAGAACTGAATTTTATGGTATTAAAATATTGCTTTAAATTCGGCTTGCTCTCACTGCAATAAAAACAAAGATAGGGTAGATCTAGTAGAGAATCTTTGATAAACACACGTACGCCCTGTCTAGATACGAAACTAAGGCTGCTGGGCTTCCCTGTGACGCACATCAAAGGTGTTGCCGGTGATTGGACACAGGTAAAAATAATCAACAACATCACCTGGGCTGCTGGGCTGTCCCCGTTTCCTCCGCTGTCGCTGTAGTGCTGTGTGTGGCGTGTGTGTATGTGTGTTCACGGTTGACAGCAGACCAGTGTTCCCGCGACAGCACAACGAAAAACACAAAGACAGATAATGGCTCTGCCTTCGTTTTCTCCTTACAGAGAAATGAAATCGCTTTTCTGAAATGATAGTTGGAGAGCTGGTTTACATTTACTAAATACCTAAACCTGTTATTCTCGTCTGGATACTATTTTTTTTCCCTGTGGTGCTTCCTTCTGAGGTACATTGTCAGTCAGAACGATGGTGTTCGCTCACCGCCGTGCGATGGGTGTGTCCCTTTTCATCGCCGTGATCGGAGTCGGCCTAATTGTGGCCGCCTTTTCTACAGACCACTGGGTCATCTCACACCCCGTTGGTAAAGAAGCGGAAAATGCCAGCGAGTTTTTAAACCATACAGGGGGTGAAGTGAGCTTTGGATTATTCAGCGGTTCTTCGAGGTTGAATTATGCCTTGGGTGTGAGACCGGTGAATTTATTAAGTAAGGCATATTTTGTTCTTTGAATACTGCTTAGAACTTCTCGGGAGAAGTGTTAATGTTATAACAATATGAATTTTTTTTAAATTTAAATCTCCATCCTGTCACAGCAGTCGAGGTGGTAGCCTACTTGTTATATTTATTATGAACGCAGTTAAAATAACATGTTGTAATGTTGGCCTTCATGGGTTTCAATCATTTAATTGAGGGAAACAATAAAATAAAGTACCCTACGTTCGTATTCGGAAAGAAAACAAAGCCAAGTTGACATACAAAATGCTTTCTACATATTATTGTTATTGTTATTCTTAACATTCTTCTTCTTCTTCTTCTTCTTATTATTATTATTATTATTA